TTTTGTTTTAAATTTCATATCCATCAAAATTTAATTTTTAAAGTTCAAGCATAGTCGCCTCGCTAAGTTTGCCATAATATTGAGAAGTGTGCAGCAGGTCCAAGATGCATACCATGGCATCGAGGAGTGTGCCACAACCTTAGGAATTTCACAAGTTTGAGAAGTGTGTCATAGCCTCGAGAAGCATGCAATAGCCTTGTGAAGCGTGCTAACGCCCCAAGAATTGAGTCATTTCCTTGAATAACATGCTATAAGTTTGAAAAGCGTACAATTGTCACCAAAAAGCATTCTATTATTTTAAAGAATAAGAAAATTCAGAGAATAATGAATAATGTGTGCATAAAAAATGTGCAAATATGTTAAAGGCGTGGTATTGCATTGTATAAGTGCATTGAAAAGTATGCAAGTATGTTGTGTAATTGCATAAACAAACATGCACATCATTTGAAATAAAATTTAAATTTATTACATTTTTTTAACAAACATGCAAAATGCACAAATGCAATATCTGACAATTGTTGTGAAAGGTCAAAAGCAAGATAAGCTAAAAATCTTATTTTTGAATTCAAAATTCCACAACGTGCTAAATGTCCAAACACAAAGTTTGAGAATGTTGTGCATGATTAAAAGTGAGCTAAAGTTAAATCCCTTTTTCAAATTAAACATTTGTATGTGCTCCGACATATATATCAAACACCTAAATTTGAAGTTTGAGAATATTGCTGATGCGGACATCGGCACGAAGATCTGACGCATCTATCACAGGAGGCGTCGTAAATCGATTGCTCTAATTTAAATTGTTATTTAAAATTTATTTTATGAATTTTAGCTATTATTTTATGTTATTTCATGTTTTACCCCTAGGTTAGTTTATTTGAGTGTTATGGCCTAAGGGGCATTTTTGTAATTTTTTATTTTCTCATGTTATGGCCTATATATAGGGGCCTTAAGCTATTGTAATATGATGATTAATTTGATTTGAAAATTTTGTGTTTTCCACACTTGTGTTCTTTTTGAGAGAGGACGAGAGTGAGATTTCTATGAGAGAAATCGAGAGTTTCACCAGCCGCAGGATGGGTCCGGGCTCGTGACGTGAAGTCCCTTGGAGAAGGGCAAACGAATCACCCACCAACCTTGGAGACGGTCGGGTTCGTGGTTTTCTCTTTGTATTTTCGTCTTCATTCACCACTCTCCTCTTTGCATCTTTCGTTTTATCTTCTATCGTTGTTTTGTTTTGTCATCTTTTCTTCCTCCCTCAACTTCACGGTCCAAGCTCCATACCGAGCTCACCAAAAACCACCGGCCACCCATCCAGAAATTCCTCCAAATCGCCAGCCATGGCTCCCTAGCCGCCGGCCTCATCCTTTCCCCTATTTCCTTGGATTTCCTAATTTGGGGTGCATGACATTAGGGCTTAATTTGAAATTCAAATTGTTTAAAATTTGAAATTCAAATTTCTTTCCTAATTTAGTCCATTTTTGAAAAGTGCTTAATTCCATTCAATTGAAATTTAAATTCAAATTCTAATTTATTGGCTCCCTTTCATAACTCCTAAATTCAAATCTATGAACATTAATTTACCAAACTCCCTCCTCTCTCCCCTTGGATGCCGCCGACCCCATTACTCTCCCTCATTAAATCATTGTCTAATTATTTCCTAAAACTCCATTCTAGCTCTAGGAAATAATTTCAAAATCCTGAATTTCCTCTTAGCCGAGAATTACCACTTCACTTTAGGAAGTAATCCCACCGCCTCACCCCATCTGCCACCGATCACTCCCCTTATTAAATACTTGTGAAATCTGTCCAGGTTTCTTAATTATGCCTTTGCAGTAAGTAACGGTTACTCCTTTTGGAAATATTTCGAAACTTGAAACTCCTCCTGCTGCTGGATAGGAAATTAATTTCCTCCCTCTCATACCCGTTTCGCCCCTTCATTAGCTTGGGTTTTAATTTATTTCCTCTGAATTATTTGAGTAATTAATGCTCCACCAATCAGTCAATCAAAGCCCAATTACGATTCCATCCAAGCTGGCTGAAATTTTCAAAATCTGTCCACAGGAAAGGCAGATTTGGGGAAAGAAATGAATGGGCTAACCTCCTGTCAGCCGAAGCATTCAAGGCCTCCCTTGGGTTTCTCCTCTCCCCACGTATTCTCTTCCAAATCAAGCCGAATTCTCCCTGGACTACTTCCTATCAGATTTCCTTCAGATTTTTTACTCAAAATCCTACCCGTTCTACATCAGTTTGGTACAGAGCATGGATTCAGATCGACTTGGAAGGACTCTAGACTGGATGGTAGGTCAAGTGGCCGCCATTAGTCAACATTTCAAGGAGACTCAAGCAGACTTAGCCGACTACCACCGTCAGACAATCAAACGGTTCGATGACCTAGAGCGAGGTAGGACAGACCCATCGCTCTACACCTCTTCAAGATCCCCTTCGTCAAAGGATAGGAAAAAGGCACTAAGAAACAGAGAAAGAGTGGATAGAGTTGAAAAATGGCTGGAGGCCAATGAAGCTTTCTATTTCCCACTCACGGTGCAAATCAAAGAAAAAAATAAGGTGACCAAGGAAGAAGAAGATGAATTGGTCGACAAGGAAAAATGCGTGACAGCAAATCCTGCAGAGAGAGACTTGGTTGGCTCAATTTCAACTCCTACAGAAGCAAAGGTTTCTCCTGACCCAGTGAACACTCCTATAACAGAGAAGGTTGAGGAAGCTCTGGAGGTGATATCCATCGAACTCCATATTGATCCTATCACCAGTGAAGCCATCGAGGAGAGTGAACAAGTTTCTGCAGGCGAAAAGAAGTGCGACAGTTTGGAAGGTGATCCCTTGACTCGGGTTGAGGAAATTGGCGAGCTTAAGTGCCTATTGGGTTTATTACCCATTTCGGAGGATGAAACTATGTCTCCAAAGAACCGTCCAAAGTTGTACCTGGGCAGTTGCGATGCTAACTCGACGGAGTCGAGTATTCTCCCACCTGGGGAGAATGATGCGGACATCGGCACAAAGATCTGGCGCATCTATCACAGGAGGCGTCGTAAATCGACTGCTCTAATTTAAATTGTTATTTAAAATTTATTTTATGAATTTTAGCTATTATTTTATATTATTTCCTGTTTTACCCCTATGTTAGTTTATTTGAGTGTTATGGCCCAGGGGGCATTTTTGTAATTTTTTATTTTATCATGTTATTGCATATATATAGGGCCTTAAGCTATTGTAATATGATGGTTAATTTGATTTGAAAATTTTGTGTTTTCCACACTTGTGTTCTTCTTGAGAGAGGACGATAGTGAGATTTCTATGAGAGAAATCGAGAGTTTCACCAGCAGCAGGATGGGTCCGGGTTTGTGACGTGAAGTCCCTTGGAGAAGGGCAAACGAATCACCCACCAACCTTGGAGACGGCCGGGTTCGTGGTTTTCTCTTTGTATTTTCGTCTTCATTCACCACCCTCTTCTTTGCATCTTTCGTTTTATCTTCTATCGTTGTTTTGTTTTGTCTTCTTTTCTTCCTCCCTCAACTTCACGGTCCAAGCTCCATACCGAGCTCACCAAAAGCCACCGGCCACTCATCCAGAAATTCCTCCAAACCGCCGGCCAAAATAATGAGCAAGATTTAGCCATCATATTGCGCGTGCTAAAATAATGAGCACGATTTAGATTTGTTGTTCTTTTAATTAACATAATTGACAAGGTTGAAAATAATAGAGTAAAAAAAGTTAAAATCTTTAACGATACTTGTTGACAAAAAATGTCAACTAGAGGGGATTATACATGACTTTTAGTATGCCATTAAATTCTAAAGTTAATCACTTGAGATTTAAATTCTAATAAAATTTAAAAACTTAATATTTATCAAAGTTCAAGATATTTCAAGTTAAATCTACTTTTTTAAAACTTAAAATATAAATCCATTCATCTTTTGCACCTATTTGTCGAAGAAGATAAATTTAAAAATAACCTCGGGTCACAAAAAGCATTTGTCTTGTTGAGAATACTACTAATATTAATTCTCAAATAATCTCTTGCTAGTAAAAATGTGACATGTGTTATCTAACATGTTGTTTTACCAGCAAATGCATCATAGGTAATTGGTTATAACAGGGGCCTCTTTGGATCATGTAATTTGGTCGCAGAAAGGTACTATCAAATTATGATTATAGCTAGAACTCATACGCTCCCTAATGGATAAAAACCTTTGAGTAATGAATTATAGGGTATTCTTGATAGGACAAAACCCATCTATTAGCTAAAGTTGACTTGAATTTATCCCATTAGATAAATATCCTCCCCGGTTCTACAAGATACTCTTGGACGGTACAATCAATGGTTGTCAACAAGGATCTTTCAGTTAGGTTGAGTCAACTATTTCTTCTGACTACGTATACTAGAGAATATACGAACTTGGGACATTGGAATCATGAGATCTTGATCGGATTCGCCATCATTTTACCAATCATTCGTTTTAAGTGCTAGGTGATAAATTTTAAATCCTAAACACCAAATCTGTTGTTCTTATACATTGGGTATTTAGTTTTCATCTAATGACTAGGCTTAATCAAAGTTGCTCTCTTGTCAAGCAGGCAAGGGGTAATTATTCATATGGGCTTGTGCTTATGAAAAATTTGAACTCTGATATTGAAGTCATTGCAAAACGAGGACGAAATTTATGGGTAGTGTCTTCTCTTCAGTCTAATTTGCCTTCTGAAAATTGCTTATCATTTGGCTAAAACAATGACTGGAAACCTCGAAAAGTAAAAAAAAAAATATAGCAGTTTTAAACATATCCAAGAATTGTGGGGTGAGAGAGATGAACATACTGCATATCTTAGTGCATTTTTATATCCTGTTTTGAGAAAGTCATTAAGATTTGCATGGCGTGACTTTTGACTTTTGACCCAATGTTTTTTTGGTCCTTTAAATTTCAAGTTCATCTTCGTTAACTGATAAAATCTACTCTGATTTGACTTTGATTTAAAATGGCATGAAGATGGCGGTCAAGGTTGATGCCACGTCAGATTATACTGCAGAGGTGTGTACTGGTTCGATGATGTAAGTGTAGTTCTCACTCAAGCTGCTTTCTCTTTTTTATTTTAGAAACATATTACTTCTTTATATTCAAGGGAGTTTACAAATTCTCCCAATTTGTCAGCAAGAAGAGATTAGATACAAGTTCTGAATGTCTAATGCCTGCTCTCTCTGTCGTGGATACTTGTGAAGAACCATCTAAAGAACTCTTGGCAGTACAACCAAATTATGTTGTCAAAGATTACATTTGTCCACCAAACACTGAACCATCAAACTCAGGTAATAATGCCTTTATTTTTGATGTCGAGGAATCTGGGAGCAAGTTGATCACAGGAACAAACAACTGTGAGAAGAGAATAATCACCTGTATGTCAGAGGAGAGGGAATGTCCTGCTGCTCTGCAGCTCTCTGTTGCACCTACATCTGTTTCCCAAATGAACCTGGAAGCAAACAAACGATCTGATGATGCTTTGCTCGAAAATCATAGAGATTCTCAAAGCTCATCGACTCCAGGCTGCTCCATTGTCTTCACTGATGAAGAAAATGACGCAAGAAGCAAAGAAGTAGAATGGTTGGAAAGCCTTGATAACGTGTTAAGGGAGAAAAAGAAAGATAGATGTACAGGCTCATTGATAGTTGACGATGCTATCAACTGCAGAGAAGGATTCACTTCCTTGACGGCAAACAAGTCAGCAGAGCAATCTGTGAATAATAAGGTGAGAGCCTAGATTATAGCTCATAATCTCTTCCATTATGTCCTGATCTTGCGCTACTCATAGATGAAATTTTTTTTATCTGAAACTGCAGATCCTCAAGCTTATTTATTTATAACACGATATATATTTTTCTACTTTTGTTGCAGAACCTAGTATTTGATTTTGTGAATCATTTAATCATATTACCAGAAAAAACAAACTTACCTGATCCTAGCTGTGAAGAGCAACTGAAAACTGATAAATCTACTTCTTTTACTGATTTTCTGGGTCGTTGTTTGCCTTCAAATTCGGGCGTACCATTGGACTTGAATACTGCTGCGCCACCCTCAGCGTCTCATTTTAGAGACAATCTTTCTATGCATAATTGGAAACATCCGTATTCCCCAAATGAGAATTCATCTTTGTTCAAACATAAAAATATAGCAGAAATGATGCTGAATGGAAAGCGAGGTTCTTTATCAGATAAACCAAAGAGGTATATAAGTGAATGGTCAGAAGAAGAGCTAGATTTTCTATGGATTGGTGTCAGAAGACATGGGGTGGATAATTGGAATGCTATTTTAAGGGATCCAAAGCTGCAATTTGCACAGTCGAGGTTCCCAGAGGATCTTGCCTTGCAATGGGAACAAGAACAGAAGAAGCTTTACAATGGCATTCTGTATCCTCCAGCAAGTTTTTTGAAGACAAATACATTTTCTCCTTCATTGCGGGAAGGTCACTATAATGCTAAAGCTCATTCATATTCTGAGAATCCATTATTTACTGAAACAAAACTCTCTCTTGGTGGTGTATACTTTCATAAGGAGAATATCGCTAAAAGTAGCCCGTTTGGCTTTACTTATCCGACAGCCAGTGAAAGTTCATCCACTTGCCCCTTGCTAGGCAGCTTCTTGTCGATGTCCTTGCATCCTGGAGCTGCAATAAGACCTAAAATCTCCTCCAGTGCATCACGGTCCATGTATCAAAAACAGTTTAGAGAAAGGTCAGTGACTCAACAGAAGCCTGCAGGATTGCCTAAAAGTACAGATCTCCCTCATTGGCTCAAAGAAGCTTGCAGCTCACACCCAAGTCCAAGTGATTTACCATGGCCGCAATTTGTCGCAGCTGGAAATGCTACAAGCTTGATCCATAATGACACTGGGCTTTGCTCTCCCACTGCCAAACATGGCGAGCCACTTACATCTAAAGATCTCAGGGGACGAGGAATCCTGAAAAGAAAAAGCATGATTTCTGGCAAAAATACCGGCATCGTAAAGATCGAAGAAGCATCGACGTCCCTCGAAGATTCTCTAAGCATAAACCTATGTGTCGCGCCAATACAAATTCCTGCCTGCGAAAGGCCTGCAATAAGCATTGCAGCTTCTCATCATCAGAAAAATATTACAGATTTGAGCAATAACATTCCAGTTTCTGTTGTTGTACCAAATGATTTGGTTGTTTTAGATAGTGATGCATCTTCAGAGGAGACAATATCAGATGATCAGAATCGGAGGCCATAGAAAGCTCCCAATCAAGTGGATTGAGAGGTACTAATACAGGATTTTGTAATTCCTGTGCAGTTTTGTTGTATGTATTGATTTTCGTCTGTATTTCTCACCATTCCACTTATCGTAGGTGCAATTGTTCCATAAAAATCTAACGAAATTAGTGGATTGAGGTGTTTTCTTCACAGGGTTATATTAATGCAGTTGGCTGAGGTTTGTTGATGAACCTCAGCGGGGGAACTTAGTAGCTTAGTCCAAGCGGCTATATAGCACATGTAATATACATTTAAACATAATATATAATATATATATTTATAATGCTATTGGTAAGTAGTTTGCAGCATTTGCAACACTTGTCTTATTACTTAGGCTATTTTATTCATCCATGTACTATTATAATGTTAAAAGATTTAAAAGCATTATTTTGGTGGCCTGATATAAAGGATTAATTATTCTATACGGATGCCGAACGCCGTCCGAAGACCAACTAGAATGTGCCACGTTACCCTTGTGTTCGGTATCGCGGCTCAGTACAGTTGACGTGGTGCATTCTGGTTGGTCTCCGGATGACATTCTGTGTCCGATCTTCGCACATAATTTTTCGATATAAAGAATGTAGTTGAATATGTAGGAAAATGTGAATTGTCATAGGTGAAAATTGAACATTGGAACCCAAATGAAATGTTACAATCATTGTGAATAGTGAAATAAAAGATAAATAATAGATGAGGGCATGATTGCATTTGGGTTATAATTAATAAATAAGTGAAATTAGCATATTTTCTTTCTATTCATAAGATAAGATTAATTCAATGGTAAAATTAGCTAAGATACTTGTGTTAAAAATTAGTTAAAAAAATATTGAATTTACATTTTAGAACTAAGGAATTGAATGATCTCTTATGTAAAAATAAAGTGGAAGCATACATTAGAAAGAGGCAACATTGGAGGTAAGAATGACATGATATAAGGTATGAGTTTCTTCACTTATTTATTTGATTAATAGGGAAGTGAATTTTGAGAAAGAAATTTTAATAAGATAGGAAAAATTTGTTTACATTTATTTTCATGCCTTTGATAAATATTGTTTTTATAAAACTTATTTTTATTAGAGTCATATATATATAAAAGTTATATTTCTTAAAGTTTATAATAATAATATTATACGTTGGATAACCAGGAGGTTTTGTACTATAGCTAGCGGAAGGAAATTATTTTGAGATTAAGGTGTACTTAGAGTTTATCTTGACTTAGAAATGAGTTATTTGTTAAGAAAAAGGATATAAGGGAAGAAAACTTTTTTTTTTTTTTTTTTAATGTAAACAAGCAATATGGTTTTATAGTTATTGCGCCTTGGAACATTTGCGATGGTAGAGAGATAAATAGTTTAGCGTCTTAGCTTTGAACAAAGATCCAGATCGCATATATATAAAGAGAAGGGAGTAAGAGTCATAAGAGACACTAAGATATTTGCATGGTAAACCCTTAGAAGGTGGAAAACCACAAAGCCAGGTGCAATTGAAATGTCCACTAGTGTTTTTGTTGAATACAAAGGATGTCCTTTTTCAGGCAAGGCATTGGCTCAATGTAGAAAAATATTGAGCGCATTACATTGTTGAGGTTGGAGGAATCTAGTGATATGAGAGCTACTCTCAAGTGAACGTTGGCCTATTCATTTGGTTGGTAGGAATGTAGTCGGACGACAAAGGTTAGAGGGACCACCGAGCAACGGAGGTTGGAGCGATCATAATCGGCGGGTGATGAAGGTAGGAGGGACCGAAGGGTCGGAGGGATTAAAGTCGGCGGGAGATGATGGTCACAGGGACCCTTAGTCAGCGGGCGATGATGGTCGGAGGGATCCTTATTCAACGAGTGACAGTGGTGGAGGGATCGTATTCGGCAAGCGATTTAGGTCGGAGAAATCATAGTAGGAGGGCGATGGAGGTCGAAGGGATCATATTAGGAGGGTAATGGAGTTCAAAGGGACTGTAGTTAGCGGGTGACGGAAGTCGAAGGGATCGTAGCCGGCGAGAAACGATGGTCGAAGGGTCAAAGTCGGCGAGTAACGGTGGTCGGAGGACCGTAGTTAGCCGGCAACGGTCCGTAATCGGTGGGTGACGGAGGTTGGAGGGACCATCTGTGATGCCGTCCCGACTGCTCCAGGTTCGTACAGACGAAAATGGCAGATTTCTTCACAAATTTCTTCAGTTCGTCCAGTACTAAATCCAGTTCGTACAGATGAACTGCACTAAAAAAAACCAGCTTTTTGAAGGGTTTTACACCATCATTGGCGATTGATGAAGGTAGGATGGACTGTAGTCAATGGGTGACATAGGTCGGAGAGACTAAAGATGGTAGGAGACAGAGGTAGGAGGGATCATAGTTAGTGGGCGACGATGGTCAGAGAGATTCATAGTCGGCAGGGGATGGTGCTCGAAGGAATCATAGTCGGAGAGTGACGAAGGTTGAAGGGACTATAGTTGGCGGGCGACGGAGGTCATATGGATCATAATCAGTGGGGGCAGTGGTTAAAGGGATCAAAACTAGTAGGCGACGGTGGTTGGAAGATCCTAGTCGACGGGCGACAGTGCTTGAAGGGACCATAGATGCAGGCGACGGTGGCCCGAGGGACCATAGTAGGCGGTCAATAGAGGTGATGAAAGTCGGAGGGACTGTAGTTGACAGGCAACGGTGGTCGAAGGACCAGAGTTAGTTGATAATGGTTAGAGGATTATAATCGGGCGACGAATAATGTTATATGAGAAGTTAATGTTATATGAGGAAAAGTAACTAGTGATATGAGGAAATGAGAAGGTTGTAGGAATGAAGTCAAGTAGAATTGGGTTGTTCATAATGTAACAAACTACGTGCTTGGAGAATCAAAATAAAAAGCTAATTATAGTTAAAATAGTTGATGGTGGAAAAAAATGTGTAAGAAAAGATTAAAAATAATAAAAAATTATTATAAAATGCAGTTTACACCTAAAAGTTAAAAAAAGGGAAAAATATAGAGGGGCCCATTGTGAGTCTAAGAAATCAATATGTGATGCAAAGAATTTAATTTTTTGTTATTTATATAATATATTAGATATTAAGGAGAGCCAAAGATGCATGTATAAGTTAGGCAATCAATGACATAAGAGAAATAAGAATCATTAAGCAAGAAGATAAAAAACTTTTCTTAGAAGACATTCAACATAGGTGGATGAGATACTTCGATAAGCTCTTTAATGAGCACTGTAAGAAAATTAAATTTAGCGACCTTAGCACCAGAAATGAAAATAGAGTTTTTTATTTTTATCGTCGTATCAATAAATTTGAAGTTGAAAAGGCTTTAAAGAAAATGAAGAGTGAAAAAGCATTGGGACTTGATCATATTTCAATAAAGGTGTGGAATGGTTATAAGATTAAAGAATTTCTTATCTTAATATATTTTAATATTAATTTGAATACTAAAAAGATGTGATATGAGTGGATGAGTGCTTTGGTTCATATTTTTAAGAATAAAGGTCATGCACAAGAGTATGTGAATTATAGATGAATTAAGTTAATGTATCCTACATTAAAAATATGAGAGAGAGTAATTAAGCTTAGGTTATGCTATGATACTAATGCTTCTTAAAATCCATTTGGATTCATGTCGGCTGGGTCTACTACAGAAGCTATACATTTGTTGAGAGGTTTGATGAGAAGTGCATAAAGAGTAAGGATCGTCTTTTGCAACAGCCCAAACTCTTAACTATCGAGATATTGTCCACTTTGGCCTAAGGGCCTCACCATTTTGTTTTTTTGGTTTAACTTTTTAGGAGATCACTCTTCCCAGGATTTCTTCGAGATGAGAATGCTTAACTGCAAATTTTTTTAATAAAATTTCAATAATTACACAAAAAAGGCACCTCAATGTTTAAGAGCTTAGCTTCTTTTTTACTTAAGGGGTTTGACAATCTCCCCCAGTTAAGTAACTGACGTCCTTGTCAATATTTTTATCCCAGAATCATCCACAAAGCATATAAGATTTTAGATGTAGTACCTACAAGTTCAAGTTGTAACTCCCGCCGCGTATCATTTTTTCCCATACTGGGTTTAAAAGGCGGCTCCCATGGCTTAGCATTTTTTATTGTAGGACACTTTATTCCCATCTTTTGGTTGGTGCATTGCTCCGATACAAGAATCTAATTTAGAAGAATTCTTTCTTTTAAATTCTGAGGCGTCACATATTTTATCCTATATTTTTTGCTTAAGTCATGGGTGCTCTTACTAGACATTTATTAGAGGAAGTGCCTTGGTGTATGCTTTTTGTTAATGATATTCTTCTTGCTGATAAGACTATAGAGGGAGTTGAAGAAAACCCTGAATTATGGAAGTTAACCTTAGAATATAAAGTTTATCGTTTGAGTAGATCTAAAATCAAATACATAGAGTGTAATTTTTGTAATAATATATCTAGTGGTGGGTGTGATATATGTTGTCAAGAAACCCAATTTTAATTTGGTTAGCAATTACGAGTTTTAGTGTGCTCAATGAAGCCTTAACGAAGTCAAGAAGTGAGCTACAAGTGAATTTTTAGATTACAAAAATTTTCTCTGGAAGCGCTGTGGCGCTTGGATTGACAGCACCGTGACATTCAACTCTATGTTTGGAAGGAAATAAGAGTATGTGATGCAGCATTGGGCGGCACCGTTATGGGGTCAGGTCTCAAGTCGAGATATTCTGAGAGAATATATATGGAAGATTGTCTAGGAGCGCAAATTCCCTGGGGAGTTGAGCGTCATGACCCTATGTTAGAATAGTGGGTTTTAAATATTAAAATATCTACAAATATTTGGCTAATCCCAATTGACCCCTAGCCTTGCCAGAGAAGAAAGAAGAAGAAAGGGGAGAAGAAAAGGAGAGAGAAAAGAGGAAGAGTTTTGAAGGCTGTAATCCAAAAATCATCATTCAGCTAGTTAAGAAAATTGTCTGGCTCGAGGTACACAACATATACTCTTTTTTCGATTTGAATTCTGGAATGCTTATACATGTATTTTTGTTGAGTTTAGAAAAAGTTTAACCGCATAACTTTTCGTATATTATTACGGCTAGTTTGTTCGGTGTGAAATTCTTAAAATTATGAGTAAAGGTGTTATTTTTGAGCCCTAGACCCCAATTTATTTGACAAAATGTGTTAATTTGGTGTTTTACATAATCCCTGAAAAGTTTACTGAAAATTTTGAGTAAGTATTTGAAAGTTGGGAAAATTCTGATAAATCTACATATTTTGGATATACATGCTTTAATTTCTTAGTTATATACTATATTTGCATTATTATTCATTTTATGGCATTCTAAAGCTCAATTATGAAAATGAAAGTATACTTTGGATTACAGAGTTGAGCCCAATACAATTATAGCTCTGTTCTGAATTACTCTGTTATGTGTTGGCTCTGAATAATTTTATGTTGGAAAATATTCTATTTTGTTATGCACCTATCACAAGCAGGTGGGAGGTGGTGAATGGGAGTTATAAGGGGAGCTTTGACACATGTACATTTATTGATTCATATTAGTATGTTAATTTAATCAAGTTTGTAAAATTTTAAATTAATTAAGTAATTTCTCTATTATTCTACCTATTCTAATTAAGACATTTGAATTGAACTCTAATATGAGAAAATGTCGAGAAGAAATATTTAAATCTAGAATAGTGGGTACATCAGCTTTTGTTGTTCAGAATGTATTAAGTATTTTGTTGAAATTATTGTATTTTGAACTATTGTTATGAATATTTAGAAGAAATATTTTGTATATATATTCTGAATGTATGTTTTATCTTATTTTGGATGATTAGATGGCTTTAAAAAATTGAAAAGTTAAAATGGGGATTAATAAATGTGTATAAAAGTACATTAAATTTCTGGTTTAGATCCCGGGACATGATAGTAGGATTGTGACGTTGGATGATCAAGGCATTAAAAAGATTGCATATTTTAGATATCTCATGTTTATTGTTTAAGGGATGGTGAAAAAATAGAGATATTATTAGTAAAATTCAAGTTGGATGGTTGAAGTGGAGGAATGCATTAGGCCTGCTGTTTGATTGAAAAGTACCCCTCAAATTCAAGGAGAAATTTTATAAGATAGTGGTGAGACCTGTAATGCTTTATGGTGCAAAATATTGGTCATTAAAAGAGAATCATAAAATTAAGTTGAGTCTTGTAGAGATGAGGATGGTTAAGTGGATGATTGGTTTTACACTTTGACATAGAATGCAAAATGATTATATATGTGAAAAGATAGGAGTAGCTCTAGTTGCAGCTAAGATTCAAGAGAGTTGGCTTAGATAGTTTGTCGTCATTCCGAAGATCCAGTTAGGAGAGTAGATATATTAGATCCAGCCAATGTTAGAAAATATAGAGATAGACCTAAACAAAATTGGTTAGGAAGTATTAGAAATGATATTTTTATTATGTTTAAATAAAAAATTGACTCGTAATAAAGCACAACGGAGAAAAATGATTCATGTAATCGACCCCATATGATGGGATAAAAGCTGGATGTTATTGTTATTATAGATTTTTAGCATTATATAAAAACCCATCACACTCATAGATTAAAAAAGATTACAAGAGACCTATCTTTTCCTTCAAAAGGAATAATAATAAAAAAAAAACATGGAGCCTAGCTTAATAGAAATTATTCTATGCTTGTTTATCACCAATTAAAAATGACAACTTCTTGATGATTGGCGAAATTATTTATACAATAAAATAGACATAAATTACATAGAACATACTTCGTGACAAAAGTTAGAAGAATCATATGACATATGAGTAGTCTTTAAGAGACATTACTAACAAACTTCTTTTCACTGTCAACTAAAAGAATTATAAAAAATAATTAATTTATGCACCATTCTAAAATGAGTTCAGGGAAAATGAGAACAAAATTTCATCATGTGAGAGATCTTACTTACCACATATAAACTTTAGAATATATTGTGAATACATTTAATTTAGCATATTCATATGCAAAATTATTTTCTCCAAATTACAACATATTATCTTGCATTTACATTACAATAATCAAAGTAATTATATAATAATTGTTTTTTAACAAAATCAACAAATAATAACATAAAACAAAATATAATGTCTTCAAACTTGTAATAAACACAAACTAAACTGTTTGATATGTTAACAATTAATCATAATCAAACTAAACATTTAAGACTTGTTATGTGAAGTGATGCAATAGAATGTCAAGTGGTGTTCTAAAAGAAATACATTGTTATGTACATTTTGGTAAAGAATGCAACAGAGGACTGAACTATTCCATGAAACAATCATAAGGTACAACTACTGGAATGTTAAATGTTATAAACAAACATACAGGATATGACAATGACAAGCTTCTATATCTTCCAATGGATGCTTCTCTGGTCAACCAAGAATCTTGATCGGCCATGGGTCAGGGTGGTTTTAGGCGCACAGGATTGAGACTTCGTTTGGGATGGCTTTCTTATTGCTTCTCAAAGCAGCTTTTTAGTATAAAAAATTTAATTTGTTATACTAAAAAGTTGCTTTAAGAAGCAATAGAAAAACCGTCCCAAACGAAGCCTGAGAGAAACTTCTCTTTGTGAATATGTTGGCTACAACCTCCAGATCCGGAGCAATCATCATGAGACTTCATGGACCTGTAGGCAAAACCTTTAACTTTGTCATGTTTTAGGATGTCATATAGACAACTACATGGCACATAGAAACAAATTACCAGTATCTAAATGCATTCATCATTGCTGCTCCTCATTATGCCTGAATCTTGTGAACCTCCTGCGCCTCCTTGGTATCATAACATCATCATTTGGACTCAAATCATCATCATTATCACCACCACCACCATCATGCAGACCCAGTAGATTCTGATCCCAAATGGTATGGCGCCCATATGATCGCCGGTCCATCCTCCAAGGCCTAGAAGAGCCTCTTGGCTCATCAAGCAACCCAATTGAGCTGCCATTAATCATACGCAGTAGTAAAAAGGTAGACAACCATGATCTACCATCCTGTGGCAGATCGTCACCACTGTCGATAACATAATCGCCAAGCACAACAGCACCAGGCATTGCTGACCTGATGGCACTGAGGATATCACCATACTCCCGCTGGTCTTCAAAACGACGCCACGCCCTCTGTCTAGATGGATCTATGTCAGTAGGTCTTGTTGCTGGGTGAACCCTTCTTGCATGTTGCCGCAGCTCCTTGTAATTGCCAGAAAATGAGCACAATTCCCGAGAGCAACTCCTCGATTTAAGGTTCAGATACTGACGTATTTCGTTAACAATCATCCAACCCGATACCGTTTCTCGACAAAGGGGACAAATCAAGATGTTGGATTCCTGCATGTTTCTGTCATGCTGGTTTCTATTGCCTTCTGCCATTGATTCAGAAATGCTGGAAACTGTCATGGTATTATTTTCAAGATGGCCCTGGTCATTCTGATTCCCATTGGAGTTTCTTCTTGCCATTGGATCTGTGAGAAAGGAGTCAGATGCAAGGGTTCGATTGGTCCTAGCCCGGTTATGTTGTTCTGTGGATGGATCAGAGTTATTTCCATGGTTTGTTCTTAATTTTGCAAACCGATCTAAGCAGTTTGAATGCCTATAACTGGTGTCACAAATGTAGGATCTGCAGCCCTTTTCATGTGACCTGCAGATTAGGAGGACAGCATTATGAGGATGGTCCAAACAGATTGGACAGGAAATTTCATCCCATTCTTTTTGTATGGCAATAATGTCTGCAGTGGTGGAGATACTACCCTTCACCTCTTCCATCTATAATATGAACAGAAAGAAGTGGTCCAAAGCATTAGAAAATGGAGTCTCTCTGGCTCAACATGGTAATCTCCAAATCAAACCACGGCATAGATTTATAGATAGCATACAAAAAATAAAAGAAAACTCAAGAACATCTACTAGTACAGCCAATAAAGCAAGCTCATGATACGAAAATTACAAATAAAAATTAAGTTGTTTGAAAGCTAAATAGCACTCATTGCTGGAAAGAAGCATGACAACCATAAACCTCCACAAATATTTTCTTCATGGCCAATTTTATGAAATTCTTTTAATCATCTGAATAGATGAGGCCGTCCAGCATAAATAATAATTCAGCAATGAAGCTCTCTAGTGAGACTTCACTGATAGGAAATACTTGAGTTCACAAGTAATCCAAGAGGAAATACTTGAGTTCTCAAGCAACCCTAGCAATAATTTATAAAAACAGTAGGAATAATGCAAAAATCTTGATGAAATCTATCCAAAATGATAGATTGTAATAATGGAATCAAAGCAAAAACAAACCCAAAGCAAGATACAATTGATCCTCAATTCAAGAGAATGATCATTCTCTCCCAATCTCTAGACGATGAATCTATTGCCCAAGACGCCAAAGAAAACTCCAAGAGATCCACTCAAAGCATGCATAACCCTCACCCTAAACAAGCCATACTATTAATACATTAATTCCCTAATTCAAACATCCTTAATTCAAATTTTCTCTCTCACCCTAACCGTCCAGCCCTCTCTTATCAATTTACTCATAGTGGGGCGCACTAGTGCGGGCGGCAAGAGCTGAAGGAGGCAGCACTTGTCTGCCTCCTGTAAACCTGAGTCGTCCTTTGGGCCGGCCGGGCCGGTTCAGGTTGAACCAGCCTAACGTTCACCCAATTGTCATCGGGACTAGTAGTTCATAATAATAGCATTATTTTAAACACTTGCATCACAACTAATTCATCCAAAAGAACACAAGCCCATCCGTGCGTTTGAAACAAATAAACAGTAATGAAACTTAAAAAGGGAAAGAATTCGATAATTACTGCAAAATGATTAAGCAAATTACATGTTTTCTGACGCTTTGATTATCATGTAGAGTTTGGTTTACTGTTGTTAGTTGTTTTGAATTACCTCTTGGGTTTGCTCGATCAATTGTTCCCAAGTTCCATGTTTTCTATCCAACCTCTAAGTTCGGGAAGTTTACTAATGTTATTGCCCTGCTTTCCCCTTCTATGTTCTGAATTGTAGACCAAGATTAACATTTGTAATCTTGTGATTCTAGCTGCCGCTACTTCAGCATACTTGCAGTTCCACATGCCTATGATTCAAATGCTTCTTATATCCTTCCTTCGACTTTTCTGATTATAGCAATGTTTGGTTGGCAGTTTCATTATTGGAAACTTGCTCTAGCTAAGTCTGTTGCATTCCCTTGGTTTTGGTATTGTAGCTGCAATCGATGAACTAATACCCACAATTCTGCCTTGTGCTGGAAACCCAGAATCGCCACATTTTTTCTAGATGAGATTGCATAATTGTTGTCTTGATGAAATCTATTGACGTTGAATTGAAAACTAGCAGAATTTGATCAGATCTTGGACAATCATGAGAAGTAACTATATTTGGGTATTTTTTTTATTATAAATAGAAAACCCCTAGGTATGTAAATACAATCTATGGTTGAATAAATTTTTGTTCCCATCTCACACTTGTGTGCATTTTTGCATATGAATTCTTCAAGTGTTTTGCAAGTTCTCATAAAAAGGATGCTTCTCCGTATGTGAGGCAAGGATTAACACTTCAGTGATCTCTTTTCTATATTTATTGTTTTGATAACAAGAATGCATCAAGTGTGTTCTATGATTTTGTAACAAAAATATCACTTTTTTATTAAAAGTTGAAAAAATATGAATTTTTATCTTTTGTGCATCCCATTTTAGGTTATCATCAGTGAACCCTAGCCCTAAGACGTCATGTATTATATGCATTCAAAATTCTACCATGTTAATTTTGAATTTCTATTGTTAATGTTGTAGGGGTTATCAGCTAAAATCTCATAAGAGCTATGGGCAAAATACATGGGTGCAAATTTACAAAACTTTGCACCAAGATAGCTCACCTAATATATAATAGTAAATAGGGACCGTTATCACAATTTTGAGACATTTGGTTTTGCAATTTAAGCCACCTAGCTTATTCCTTCAATGTGGCAACATGAATAAAAAAAAAAAAAAAACTGATTTTTTGAGAAGTTTGTGATCAATACCACAACCTTTAATCAAAGTTAAGCACCACAACAAAAAAATCAGCAATATCAAGTGTGAAATGCTTCAAATAACTTTAATCGAGAAGAAAATTAACCAATACTTACTTAAATGCAGAGGTTACATCTATTATTTGGGAAAAAAAGTCATATTACAACAAGTCAAAGCTATGAAAAAATCAAATATCTGAAAAAAAAAACCCCTAAACACAAACTAATCTAAATGTATAAGCTTAAATTCTCTATAATTTGGGTATGATATCATGTACACTATATATTGATACAAAAGATCAGTTCCATCTACACAATTTTGACCTCTTTGGATAGATAGAACATACCACTAAATGTACAACCCATATTTCAAAATAGACAAGTCAATGGAAAACCCAAGAAGCACAAAAAAATTGAACTTCACACTCAACAATAAAAAAATTTGATCCGATTCTTAAGTTGTATTTACTCGACGAAGATTTGGAATTAGAAAGACTAAGAAGCTATTTGGTATCCAATTTCAGGCATGATTTTTAAATCCTTCCAAACAAATTTATGGGACCTTTAAATCCTACTATTTTGATAAATCCCCTTTCAACCCCATATTAGTCATTCAAAATTTACTATATCCCAACATTCACATGATTTAACGGATTAAACGATTTTCTCTCATGAAACAAATAATAAAATATTTTATCAAGATTTAGCAAGATTTAAAGTTTTCATGATGAATAGTTTTCAGATTTTAATTCTCAAACTTCCCTAATCTGAATCAAGATTTACTAAATCCTATTCCAATTAAACCCTCTTGGTAGTCAAACATAAACTCCATTGTTTCTTATTATTATAAACTATTTAAAACTTGGCACAAATGTTCTATAAATTGGAATGGTAACAAATCCATAAACCGAAATGCAAAGCTTACATGTAGATTTGTAATAAATTATCACATAACAGCATATATCTCATCGTAATGCTAAGGGGCAGTTTGGAATCCTACTTTAGGCAGAATTTAAGCATGATTCAGCTATGATCTTGGCCAAGAAAATTTTTGGGATTTCCATCCTGTTATTTTGATAAATTCCTTTTCAATCCCATCACTGATTGAATACAAGATTTATTAACTCGCATCATTTTGAAGATCTAACGAACTTGAAGATTTCTTTTCACACAAAACTTAAATCCTAAAAGATATAGCAAAATAATTTACCAGAAATTAGCAGATTTAAACATTTTTCATATTTTAATCCTCTCAAGGTTTATTTTCTGGATTTACAAGATTTGCTAAATCCTTACAAGAGAGCACAAACTACATGAAATTACAGAAATAATACCCTATAAACCGATTGAGAAAAAAAATAACCATGGTGTAGAAAGGACGCCATGGCGAAGCAGGTATACTCTACAAAAATCCCATACTTTTCTCCTGGTCCAAAATATCAAAAACCTCTCCTTGCCGGGGAAGAAATTTAGGGCAGGATATCTTGACCTAAATTTGCGAGGGAAGATGAGCACAATATAATAATTCATTCATTATTCATATATTATAATCATCTCAAAACAAATCCAATGTTAGAAACCCCATCTGATCATATTTGAATCAGAATATTCTGACCCAAAATTTCACCCCTTGACAAAACAGCAACTACTTGCTTCCTCCCCCCGCTTTTAAAACCATCATGCCCTACGATTAAAGCTTAACCCATGGATCTACATTAGATAACCTATAACTCAACCTATTTTCGGAACAAATTTCCAGGATTCAAGCATCTAAAAGAAAGGTGAATCAAGTTCAGAATTTTACAGCGATTCTCAGAGCGGCAGGTGCTTCAAATCAGCTTGATGAAAATTTCTTGCTCCTCTTCTTCTCGTTTCTCTTTCTGCACTTGTGATCGGAAGAAAAGGAAGAAAAACTCTCTTTTTATTCGCTAATTACGATCAAAAGAGAGATTAACAAAAAAAGGAGAGAAGCGCATAAGGAGAGGAGGCTCAGCAGAGATTAAATAATTACAGGTGGGGTTGATGGGTTTCGTGTTTGCGCTGTTAATTTGTTTTTCTATCACCCTCTTCCTTTAAAAATTTGCAACCAAAACCGTGGCAGCTGAGCAGCTCACGTTAACCTTCCTGGTAGATTAATGGCGGCGACCGTTGGACTTTCGGACGGTTGAATCCTCCACCTTACCATCGGACGGTTGAGAGCACTTAGAAGTTTCTTGACGTTATCAAAGAATACTTGGGAATATTACTTGTGGTCATGCTAAAAGCTTTATTTTTTGGGGTTGATTTGGTTTGCTTGAAAAAGCGAATAATATTTTAAATATATTAATTATATTATTTTTTATTTTGAAGTTGCAACAAAAATTATTATTTTTGAGGAGTTTAGGAAAATTTGAAATTCTAAAATTAATGTTGGTAATTTATATTATATTTATGTTCAATTTGCTTTGCAATGATGAATCCAATAAAATTAAATTATATTTTTATAATGTGAATTTCATCCTCGATAAGTTTTTCGTTGGTGTCGTGTTACTATTTCCTAACGAACCCTCCATATTTTTCATCCAAGGACTTGTAGACCTATACAAATCAGTGTTGATCATATGACATGCCATGAATCCAACCCTAAATAAATACTTCAGGCATTCTCCAACCCAGAATGTCATTCAAGCTTTGTAATATCGGAGAGTTTCCAACCGAGCTGCATTCAAAAGATATTTCATGTTTTTGAACAGCTCACGAGTCAATATGTGTTGCAGTCTGTTCGCGGAAATGCATTTTTTTAGGTAAAGATAATGAAAGAGTAATAAGATTATCATTATATATTCTTTTTTGGTGTTTGAAATGAGTGTCGGTTTGGACTTGAATTACTGTTTCCATATGTCTCTGGAGAGGTATTTTGGAGGTGAAAATTGGGTATTAATGGTTGGAGATATCCTTTTGCGGCTTTGGGTGCATTGTATTTTAAGGATTCCATAACCTCGCTAATTGGTTATGATGAACATATTTTACTTACATTAATCAATCAATTTATTTTAAACTGAATGTGATATCTTTTTTGTTATTGTGTTCGGAATTTTGTGAATGTTATCATCTCAATTCTAGATATATGGAGGAAGTTTTTACAATGAAGGCAGACTAGATCTTTTCTATATATGAGACACTTTAGATTGCCCTTAAGTTGCTTCTCCCATAAATATTACTAGGACTTTAGAATAAAATTATATCAAAATATTTTTAATAAAAAGTTAATTATGATAGTTTATTTGAAAAACTAATTTGATGTTATCTTAGATTAAATAATAGTTGTCGCCGTGCTAGAAAAATACGCGGCAGTAAAGTTTGTAAATTCGCGTCCGAGCGTTTGCAACGAAATTTAACAGCACAAACAGTAAAAGAGAAATACACCTAAGATTTTTATGACGTTGGAAAACCCAAAAAGGGAAAAAATCACGGGGCCTTGCCGAGTTGTAAAATTATACTAGTGTTTTTGTAAATTACAAGAAACTGATTCGTTCCACAAATCGGGAAGATCAGATTACAACTTGAAGAAAATTTACAAAGTTTTGCAGAATCCCGTCGTTTCCCGAAAATCCGGCAGAGTTCCGGCGTATTCAGACGGCGGGAAGAGCTCCGGAGGTGGTCGAGGAGGAGAGGATTCGCCTTTTCCCCTTTTCCTTCTTCTTCTCTCTCTTCACTTGAGTCCCTTTGGTGTAGAATGAGGGATCTATTTATAGTTTTTCTGGAGTGGCATAGCTTGTAAATAGGCGTGAGATCAGGGGCGAATTGGGAGTTTTTTGAATGGACGGCCGATATCGAATCCTTTGATCATGCACCGTTTATTGGGTATTTGAAGGCCTTAATGATGTCGGAATTCAGTGATCTTGAGCTCGTTGGATTTGTCTCGTCGACCCGCTCGATTCGAGTATAAGCTAGTTAAAATCGGAGACCGTTTGGTAACTCAAATTTTTTTTTGAACCTTCTAACAACGCTTCGGGTCTTTGATTCAGACCCATTTGGGCTCGGATTGGGTCGAATTTGGTGTCGTTGGGTTCGTATTTCCGAGACGCTCAGTTTGACTATAAGCTTGCTGAAATCGGAGTTCGAATGCTCTTGATTTTAATTTTTGAAGTTTCCAACTAGCTTTTTGCATCGAGATTCGTGCCTGATCAAGATAATTTTGTGATGCCGTATCAATAGTATAAGCTTTTTATGGCATTAATAATCACAAAATAAACTCATTGATTTTTGCACATGTTGATATAATTTAATACTAAGGGAGTTAGGAGGCTTGTACTATATTAATTATGGTAATTTTAGTAATAATAGTTCTTATGGAGGAGTTTGACTTTGGGTGATCAAGTCATTAATAAGAGTAAATGTTTTAGATATCTTGGGTCTATCATTCATAGTGATGGTGAAATATATGGGGATATTATTAGTCAAGTTTGATGATTGAAGTGGAGGAATGCATCGGGCTTGCTGTGTGATAGAAATGTCACTCTTAAACTTAAGGAAAAATTCTATAAGAATGTGGTTAGACTTGCAATGCTTTATGGTGCATAATGTTGGTCATTAAAAGGGAAGCAAAATATTCAGTTAAGTGTTGCAGATATGAGGATGCTATGTGGATGAGTGGCTTTACTCTTAGAGATATGATACAAAATGAGCATATACGTGAAAAGGTTAGAGTAGCTTCAGTGGAATACAAGATTAGAAATAGTCGCCTTAGATGATTTGGTCATATAAAATGACATCCTTTTGATGACACGATTAGGAAAGTAGATGTATTAGATTTAACTTAAGTTAAAAAAGGTAGAGGTAGACCTAAAAAGACTTGATTAGAAAAATATTAGAAATAACTTTTCTATATTAGATTTAAATAAAGATTTAATTTTTTAACAAGGTACAATGGAAAAAAAGGATTCATGTTGTCGACCTCACATAGTGGGATAACGATTTGATGATGATGATGATGATGATGATGATGTTATTGGAGTTAGGAGGTTTAAACAACATCATTCTTTATTGAGCTTTATAATTTAAGATTTTCATTTCAAAAGGATATTACCCTTAACCTAGCTATGTGGGAAGAAATTAGCACACCACTTGTATATGACTTATATGCCTAAAATTGATGTGAATGAATTTAATAGCACTTATAAATTGGAATCTTAAAGGAGGCTAAGAAAGACATATGCTTTATAATCTCACTTGAATGGGATAACCTACTAGATCCACCACCTTAGTACTTTGAAATACATTATACACAATATCTATGCAAATGTAGGATATATTCAATTTTAATTAAGAAGTGAGACTGAAAGCAATACTTAAAAATGCAATCTGATGGGAATGTCTCAGCCACGTGAGCAATACTAGCCGTTGCTACTCCAATACCGCAATATCATAGTTGTTTTTCCCTTTCTGTTATGCACGTGCTTTCCTCCGCCTTTTTTAATTTTTCTCTTTTAATAGGAAGTTAGTTACTATAGCAGGGATATATACTCAAGAGACACAACAGAGGACATATATGAAAAACTACCCTTCCTGCTATTACTGTTCCATTGGAATTGTGTGTTTCTAACCCTCTTGCAGGTATCCTTTGGGTGTTCTACCTCCGATCGGCTCCGCTCCGGCACTTCGTCGCAGGTGAGAGACATCACAATCTAATCATATAAAGAATGATACAAGTAGTACCATGCAAACTTCGAACGCGACTGCAAACTCGACGACGGACAAGCGGAGCTGATGGCGAGCTCGTGACGACGAAGGAGTTTGCAATGGAGCTCGACTGAGCTTGAAAAGCCAACTCGGAACGGAGTTCGCAGTGGAGCTCGACGAGCTGCTCGAAATATGAGACGAGTCGAGCTCGAGCTCGGATTTTGAGCTCGACTCGAGCTCGGTATTTGAAAGTCGAGCTCGACTCGAACACTACCTAACTCGAGCTCGACTCGACTCGTTTGCACCCCTAGATCCACCTTAGTACTTTGAAATACATTATAGACAACATCTATGCAAATGTAGGATATATTCAATTTTAATTAAGAAGTGAGACTAAAAGCATTACTTAAAAATGCAATCTAATCATATAAAGTATGATATAATTAGTACCATGCAAATTTTATTTAATTATTTAGTCCTTAATGCAAAGGAAAACCTCAATATATTAGACTTATAAGGATTATAGTGTATATCATTTGAGATCATTTACTAATTTGTGTCAAGTACACACATAATGGACATGACAATTAATTAAATATTGACTATACATCAAATGACCATAAGAGTTATCTTGGTTGTTTTTCAAATAATGTCTAGAAAAATTTATGTATTAATTTTAATGAAATCCAATGTTTATGATTTTAAACCTAAAAAACATAATATGGAATGCCGAGCCGATACAACATTGCAATAATGATGGTGATGTATCAAATTTGAATAGATAAATTGATTGGAATAATTCAAAGAAAGTTTGTTTCTTCATTAACAAACTGTCCTTTGCAGTCCACCACCACTCGCCGCCACCCATCATCACCAACATGCCACCTTGTTATTTAAAACAACTTAGTGCGATATTTAATAAATATATTTAAGCTATCAAATATATTTTTATTTATATTTTTATCAACCAAATTTATTTATCATAATAATTCAAAAGAAAAAAAAAGTTAAAATTTTATTTTATTAAATTTTCATACATTTTATTTTGGAGCAAAGTGTAATAAACATGAATTAATAAAAACTAACATAAAACTAAGGGTTGTTTAGTAGCGAAATTTGAGCAATATGTGACCTAAATTCATCCAAATGACAAAAAAATGGAAGTTAAAAATCAAATAAAGACAATTATTCCTCAAGGATCTTTGACCACTAGCGACTCGAATGACTTGAATCCGACCTGTTAATCTGTTTTGGTTAATTTTTTAATAAGTTATTAACTATAAAATTTATGATATTTGATAAAAAATAATAAGATTAAACCCACATATAAAAAAATTAAGCAAAAAATGCTAAACAAATCATTTTCGGCTCAAAAATAAGTTTGAGGGTCAACTTGAACCCGATCCATTTAACAAACGGGTCAGAAAATCCAATCCAATTCCAACTCGTTTATTAAATAGTTTTTTGTATTGATAACCTGCCTTTTATGACTACATACTCTAACAAGTGAGAGCTATTATATCATTTATAGTAGCTTTAAAAAAAAATTTCTCTGAAAAAGTTATAAAAAGTTTTAGCCGCTCTAAACAAACCCTAAATGCTCAGGATTTTTTAAATCTTTATGGCTGCCAAAAAAGTCCCTAAGGATCTTTTGATCAATTTGGGGAGGTTCCATCCATCATTAAAATCAGACTTGAAACTGCTATATGGAGAGCTATTTTGTGATGTTATTATGGAATGATATGCTCGATCATTAAGAACTTAACATAGATAGCAATTTGTTTGAAAATTGTGTTTGAAAGCTGCTCTTCGAACGGATCTGTCAAAGCCCATTTTTGCAGATTTCCCCTTTCTTCCCTGAACTGAATCTACCCGAAACACCCGTTCGAATTCGAATCGTTTCTCCCTCCAAACCCTAAACTCGCATCCAAAGCTGCCGCACGCCGGAGGCACTGCAAATCCTCCTCCGGCAGCGGCGTCGGGCATTCCTTTTTTTTTTTTGGTGGGCCCTTATGTAGTACGCGCTGTTTCCTTCTTCTCGGCTCCTCTCGTACTCAGTCTACTACCTGCTGCTTCGCTTGTACAGATCTGTTTCGAGCTTGACCGTCGTCACCTTCATTTACCGGGAGATAAGATTTCATCACTGGAAGATGGTGTTAATGATTCCTGCTGGGCGATATCGAGCAGCCCCACACCCCTGAAGACTGCCTGCCTCCTCTTCGCGGCTCTTCTACGGAGAATGTAGGCACACCTAGACCCGTATTGCGCTATCCCTGGCATAACTTTCTCGAGATACAGTCCTTCGACTCTTCTCCAGTGAGATCGAGTCGCCCACAATTAAACCTTTAGCTCGTATTTTTCACTTGTGAAGTGCTTCGCTTGAATTAGTTCGTAGGGCAAGTGTTGATTCCAGAAAAGGATTGTAGTTTGCATTGATACAGCTATAAATCCCCCTTTTTTATTAACTTTTTTATATTTGACAGCTTCCAGACATTTTAATTCATGTTTCGCAATCGTTTGTGTGGATTCAATCTGTGTATATCATGTCCATGCCAATTCTTTATTTTCCAATTGTTTTTCATCCAATAGTGAACAGATGAAAATATTTAATACCTCGGATCAGTCCACGCATTGATTGATGACAAATTTCAATGTTCGGATGCATTTGTTACTGGTCTTGCGAAATTAAGTTTCTCTATGTTCAAGGTTCGGATGCATTTGATGAGTCTTGTTGGTCAAATTTGCTCATAATGTTTAATGAATGTTTTTTACCTTGCAGAATTTCGATAAATGAATTTTATATCTTTGGTATTTTCATTTTTTTTGCCTTTAGATTGTTTGATTGCTTTTAAAATTTTTCATTTTGTTAGTGCAATATAGCTTTTTTGTCTTTCTATTCCTATCGTTATGTCACTGCTTCCTAAATCAGTTTAATTGTTTAATTGCAGGTGGTGACAACATCATCATTTGAAGATAGAGTTTTCATCCTTCTTGAAGCTCTAAGTTGTTTTTAAACATGAATAAGCAAGCTTCAATTGTTCCTAGCTATGGGAACAACAAAGGGCCAGTCACACGAGCTAAAACTGCTGCCATGGCTTCTCAAGGCAGGAGACTTCTGCCAAGGCCACCGCTAATACCTGATAAAAAACAAACAAAAGTGAGAAGAACAAAGAGAGTGACTTCAGAAGAGAACAATCATACTGCCCCTTACGTTGTGAGTTCACAGAACAAAAAGCGAGCAGTTCTTAAGGATGTCTCCAATGTATGCTGTGAGAGTTCTTACAGAAATTGCGTGAATCCAGTAAAAATACAGGTGATATTCCTTCTCCTGCTTGATTTTCCCATTTTAGATACATAAATGAGTATTTTCTTAGGCCACAGCGTTATTATCTACTAATATTCGTCTTTGTTTCCCCAAATTTCATCTGGTCAAATTACCAACATTGTTCAATTTTGGCATTTATCTTCAGGCCAAGGCTTGCACGCAGCAAGTACGACCCGAAAATGTTAAGGCTAAAACAAGGTCTGACCACAAAGATTTAAAATATACCCCAGCCATGTCTTCTAATTTTGAGCTGCATGATGATGGAAACGACCGAAAATGTAAAAAACATGTATCAGAGAGTTTATTCGATCGAGAGAGCTCATTTACTTCTGCAAATTTGGATGGGGCTATGCTAAGAGAGACTAAAATGGAAGGATGCGTAATGGATGGTTAGCATTGCAGATGCATCTCTACTTTATGCTGAAGCATTTACAAATACTTTATGCTCTTGATATTAGAGAATTGTTGGACCAACTGTGTAGCTTTGATATTGGCCTATAGATGTGCCATTTTACTAGCTAATTAGTACTTTAGTTAGTTTAGTAGTTTAATCAACGTTTCTATTCACTTTTGTTTATTGTTTTATAAAACATGTTACATGCACCTACATACAAACAAATGTTTGGCAATCATACTTTAATTTATTATTTTTTGAAACAAAATGCACTGTTTACCGACCATGTTTGGCAAAATTGGTTTTTAAAACAAACTTATAGGTGTTTCCACATGTAATGGTTACATGCCTATGTGTTTTTTCAATAAATTAGACTAATTAGACAATTAGCGATTAGTTTAAGGATTAGTTTGTTTTATAATTAGCATCATTAAAGTTTTATAAGCATCTAATTATGCTTATTAGGTATAACATAGTTAATTAACCAATTAGTTAATTAATTAACATGTTTTAGCATTGATTATTTATTAGGGCTAGTTGGTTATTAATTAGAGTGTTAATTAAGATAATTAATTATTTATGAACGTTTAATTGTAATAATTAGGTCTGGGAGAATAAATTTGTTTTTTAATTAGCCATAATAATTAGCATTTAAGTATCTAAACTGATTAGAGATTAATGAAGTTTTACTTAAGATCATTGAGCCTTTTTTTATTCAAGAATTAAGCTTATTATTAATTAACTAAAAAGAGCAATTGGTATTTAAAGAGTTATTTATCCTAATTATTGGTTTTTGAAGGTTTTATTGAATTTTAGAAATAGATATTTGATTTTTATTTTGTTAATTTATTGACGATAAGAATCTATAATTAACATTTTATTTAGGATAATTGGTGGTGAATTAGGGTTTTCATTAAGATCATCGAATTTATATCAGTATTTAGTTAGAGTACTTAGGCATAGGATACTTTGTTAAACTATTAATTTTGCATAGTAATTAATCATTAAGTAATAATTATTATTAATTAAGAATCAATTAATAATGTAATTAATTCCATTAAGTTTTAATTAGTACTTATTTATGATTATTTGAAATTGATACAATTAAAATATCATTTAAATGTAGTTTTGCTAAGTAAATAAGCAATTAATTTAAAAATAATTAAACAAATCCATGATTAACTTGTTATTGATTCTGATTCTAACTTATATTATTAAGGCTGAAATTAGATTTAGGATAATCGACATTTTGATAGGATTAAATATGAATCAGGTAAACTTAATTATTAAAATTACTTATATTAATGCCATTTTCTATTTTTGGTGATCAGAAAACTAATAGACCATCTAAATAAATTTTAAGTAAAAATAAAAACAAATCAAATGAAGGTAAACCTAATCATTCGAAATTTCTATTCAACTTTCATGGTATTTCTGTTGTTTACATTTCATCTGAGTTTATTTGAGCTTTTATGCAGTTAAAGGCATCCTTTCTGCGGATCAGGACAGCTCAAATTGCTTGGGTATTCATGATATTGATTTGGACATTTCAAACCCTCAAATGTGCAGCCTCTATGCAAATGACATATATACTAATCTACGAGCTTCTGAGGTAATTAATGCTACTCATTTATCTTTTAATCTTGCTCATTTTGGTTTACATGAAAAATATTACTGAAATTGTTCTATTTCTTCTTTGTTACTCACTTAAGTTTCCACAAATGTCATAATGATTCATACTATTCACTGATGGAAGTCTGCTTTTCGTATTCTCCTTTATCATTTAGTTTTATAAAACAGCTTTATGATCTCGATGTATTATTCTCTCAGAATTGTTTTTCCTTTTTTGCACTACCTATACTAGAGATTCACTAAATTTTGTTACTTTCATCCTTTATTTCTTCAGCTTATCTGTAGGACTTCTTCAACTTATATGGAAACCTTGCAACGAGAAATCACTCAAAGCATGAGAGGCATCTTGATTGATTGGCTTGTTGAGGTATGTAATAGTTTGTTAGATGAGGTATACATTTTTGTCTAAAAAATTTCTTTATCGTGGCATGTTTAAGAGGTTATTTTCTTTAGCATTTGCGTACCATTTATATTTCACGTTTGACATGCGAGCCACTTTTCATTTTATTTTAAATTAAATAGTGTAATGTTTTCCTATTTAGTAGACATGACCCAATTTATTAGTAATCGAATTTAATACATGTCATAATACAAAATAAAATTTCTAGTTTCTACCATGTGAAAATTGATAAAGGTGATTGATTTCAAATCATTGATGTAAATGTTTTAATCCCCTACAGATTTGTCCCAAATTATATTAAAGAACCATTTTGATCCATCAAGTTTTTAAAGAGGAATCAAAATAGTGTCATGATGAGACTATTTTGATTCCTCATTAAGGAGTTGAGGGATCAAAATGATCATTTAATATAATTGGGGATTATTTTGATCTTTCGTAAAGAGTCAAGGAACTATTTTAATCTTTTTCTCTTTTTAAAATTTTCCCACTATTCCTTTGAATGGATTTGTTAATGTTTACTCTTTTTATAAGACACACTGGTTGCCGTTCTCCATTTACATTCGACAATGTTGTCAGGTGGGAAATATTGTGGGGCTAACTGAAAATTGCAGCAACATTGGTAAAAAGAAATATTGTGTGAAAGAAAACGATTCTGTTTAGCGGCATTAAACTCCTCAGTTATTATTTATTGCATGACTAAACCAGCATTAATTGACCAAAAAAACATCGATGCTGCCGACTTGGCAGCTGAACCGAAAGTGAAAGTTTTAGTTTTCAAGGGGCTGTTTGAGATCAATTTTATCTTTTGTTGCTGTTTATATATATATATATATAATTGTTTAATTAGTTCTATCTTTTAGTTTTAAAATAAATTAAGTTATTTTTAAACACTCAAAATAAGTTTAATATGTTTAAAACATTTTTAAAAACAACCACATCATTGATCGCCATTATCACAATCATTGAAACCCACTAACATTGTCAAATTGCCATCTTCGTTGCCGGCGCCAGCCACCACTTACACAATCTCGCTTGCAATCATCACCATTATCATTGCCTTGTCAGCTGCTGCCACCCCACTGGCGACGATGACCCCACTGTTGAATCAACTTATTTAATATTCAATGGAAATATATATATATATAGAAAGTAATTCCAAATAGCCCTTAAGTATTTGGAAAAAGAGGACAAGAGATTGCATAATTGATTGTTGTAGTTATTGGAAAATTAGCAAATAAACACTTTTGAAGATGAATGTATCTGCGATTGTTTTAGCTATATGCTAAAATTTTGGGACCTTAAATTTTCTGAAGTTTGTGTGTTGATTCCATTGTGATTCCAGAGATGATGATGATTTATGTTACAGAATGAGCACTCCCATGATTGTTTTAATGCTCAACTTTGGTAACGTTAATGTTTTTAGAGTTATGTGTTGATTCTGTTGTGGTGTTAATTATTCTATGGTTGAACTATGTTTTTTTCCATATTTACAACCTCATTTGCTGCTGCTGCTGCTGCTGCAAGTTGCATTGTCGGTTCCCCCATGACTATCATAAGTACATGCTCAATTTTGAGTACTTTTGTGTTGATTCCATCATGATTGCATGGATGTTGATTATTCTATATAATTGAACTCAGTTCTTACACATTTGGTCCACTAATTTACTTTTCCTGCATATGAGGAAATTTCTGTTAATGTTCTTTTCTTTTTCAGGTTGCTGAAGAATATAGACTTGTTCCAGATACACTTTATTTGAGTGTGTATGCCATTGATAGTTTTCTATCTGAAAATTGTATTGAAAGACAAAGGCTGCAACTTCTGGGTGTAACATGCATGTTGATTGCATCGTAAGATTTTTTTTTTATTGTATGAGGGGTTCTTTATTTTCAACGCTTCTTAAAATTCTAGTATTTTACCTTGGCTATTATCAATGCTGTATCAGACAGTTGGAGCTCCAAAAATTTACGTTCTTGTACATTATGGTTGAGAAGCCAACATTCACGTGCTGCAATTAAATTTTATTTAAGTTTTTGATGGATCCTGTATTTTAAAAACTCCAGCAAGTCATGTCCAAAAGAAATTGCAGATATTTTAACTTGTACTGAATGAGTGCATAAAATGTTTTCTATTTTGTTCTTTCATATGAATCTATATTCATATTTGCAATGATAGATTTTTTACGTGTTAGAACATTGATGACGATAGAGAGTAGCGTTGATGTTGTCACGATGGTGGTTGTACGATGGCTCAATGACGACGGTCGAATGATGTACTAATGGAAGCGGTTGGGCGATGATTCGATGGTGGCAATTGGATGGTGATGCTTGAGTGTGGAGCTTCAAGATTCTTATAACCTATGAGCTCTCTTGAATCCCAAGTCTAGGTCTAAGCTCCCAGTTCCCCCACCCCATGAGAGTGTGTGTTTATTTATTGATTTTTGAGAGTGACACGCCTTGTAAATAAAGAAAATATTCATAACACGCTGTTAGACGACCCTAGTAATCCCTTTGATCATAGGGCATTTGTTCAACATTTAAATGCCTTAATGTTGTCAAGATTAAGCAATCTTAGGTTCGTTGGATTCATCTCGTTTAGACGCTCGATTTGTCTATAAGCATATAAGATTTGAAAATCGTTTGGTCATCCAATTAATATCAAGTTTTCAATTACATTTGATGTGCTTAATCTAGGCTTATTGACACTTAGAATGGACCACTTATGTTATGTTGGGTTCATTTCTTCGAGACCTTCAACTCAATTATAAGTTTGCTGAAATCAAAGTTTGAATTATCTTGAATTTAATTTTGAAAGTTTTCAATTTAAATATGCATCAGGATTCGTGCCCGCTCAAAGCAATTTTGCTAACATATCAAGATTAACTAAACATAATGCTCACTAGTTCCAGTCAACTTCTTATATCCTATATAAATTATGACACGCGATTAGGTTTTGATTTAGGAACTCTTTGGTTGGCTGAAAAAGAAATGCACTATATTTGAAATATTTTGGATGGGTGTAAAATAAATGCAGGTGATTATTTTTTTATTTGGATTGAAGTAAAATGAATGTAATGTAAAGTTCAAATATGATGGGTTGGTGTAGTTGGGATGGCGGTGGTCAATGACAGTGGCCTGCGATATGCGACAACGTTGGCGGCTGGAGCCTGGTGGTGGTGGCTGCCAGTGGTAGGCGTTGACCATCGGTGGTAGTCGGAGGTGGGTGGTAGCGGTGGTCGACGAAGTGGGTAGTGATGGTAGTGGCGGCATGTTGCGGCCAGTAGAAGAGCGGCGGAGGTGGTGGCTGTTGGATGTGGGTGACGGCAACAAACGTCGTTGGGTGGCTTCAACAGGCGGCAGTGGTGGGCGGTAGGTGGCGACGACCATGGCGATGAAGTTACAGTGTATCTAGAAATTATCCAAATTGGACTAATTCCAAATACATCGAATTTACACTAATGATACATTTCAAATACCAAAACATTTTACACTTTATTTGTTTTACTTCAACCCAAACACCAATATTCTCAAATCTCTATATTTGGAAAACTTTGAGCCCATTTTACTTCAAACCAAACAATCCCTTAAAAGTTAAAACCATAACACAAATATCATTTTACTACGTTGGTTGGTTTTTGCCATCAAATTCTTGTAACTTCAGCTGTTTGCTGAAAATTTCGTGTGCTATGTGGGAACAGTAAATTTGCCTTGTTTTGTTCAAAACAATTATTGGTAGCATAATGCATGCATCAGTATCTGCGGCAAACAAAGCATAGGCTTGTTTGGGAAAATGTTATTGATTAGTAAAAGCAATGTGGAGGTATGAAAGCAAGTTACTTAGCTTGGGAGTATTCAGCGCCTGAGTGTATTCACCTACTTTCTAGTAATTTTACATGAAGTCAACCGTATGCTTCTTTGCATATTCAACCTCATTATGCCTTGCTCTTGTCATCTGAATATATACATACATGTTCCACGCTGAATGATTTTTGTTGATTATGTTAGGATGTAGACTTCTTCTGTAAAATTTTTAATTATTTTTTGTACAATGACTGCTTTATAAGGATTTTATGAATTTGAATCACGAAAACCTTTTCCCATTGTCCATTTTATGCTGCAAAGTTAAGGCAGAAATGTCACCTTTGGCCTCGATTTGTTTTATATACTGTCCTATGTTTTTGCAGCAAGTACGAAGAAATTTGTGCTCCTCGTGTGGAAGAGTTTTGCTATATTACAGATAACACGTACAACAAAGCAGATGTATGATAATTAATCTCCAGTTTACATGTTACCGTTATTTTGCCAGAAAACTAATCAATGAAATGAAAAAAAAAAAAAATGAAAGTTAACCATATATATTTTTAATGATTGTTCACCTTATCAATGGCAGGTACTCAAAATGGAGATTGAAGTACTGAGCCACTTGGATTTCCGATTGTCTGTTCCCACTATTAAAACATTTTTAAGGTCATCTAACCTTCCAGATCTTTGTTTTTAATGCCAGATCTATTAAACAGATGACTTCTAATAACATCATATTCTTGTGTGCAGAAGGTTCCTCAGAGCAGCGCAAGTGTCTTATAGTGTATGTATCACCCCAAATTTATTTAAGTTTTTTTTTAGGAGATAAACATGCTAAAATAATTATATTGACCGCCTTAGGGACAATACTGCTCGAATACCTAAGAAAAATGCATTTTCTATAGCTAAATACAGGAAAATTTTTCTCATATTTTGTGCATGAAGTTAAACCTAGGCAAGGCAGTGTTGAGCTACATATGTGCTCCATGATCAATTCGAGCACGTGTGCTGAGAATAATAGACAACGAATATGACGTCACATGAAACAAGCTCGAACATCACTTGTTTTGAGAAACGGGTAACTCAATCTAAAATTGGTAAAAATGATAGTCTAAGGATATGACAGACAACTCTACACCCCAATAGCTTACTTCCCTTAGCCACCGAGCACTCAAGCCCACTGTTGGCCAACCACCTGCCAAGCTACTCTCTTTTGCCTGTCCTCTCTCCCTCTCATACTCTCTCTCTCTTTCTCTCACCCTATCTCACTCTCTCCACCAAACAACAACCTCACCTCTTCCTCTCACTCTATCTCACTCTCTCTCCACCAAACAACAACCTCACCTCCGCTTACTCTCAAACCTGACAACCCATAGACTGTCACTTGAAGCGACCCCCCTGTTGACCCCTACAAAAGATACTCTCGTTCGACCTCAAGGTGCTACTAACGCCTCATCTGCAGGCCAAATCCAAGACCCACATGTACGTCCCATCTCAAACTCCTCTTCACAACTGAACCACTACCCGTTTGCTTCTAGCCATCCACCTCTTCCTTTAATCCAACCTCCCAGCCGAGCTCTCACACAGCCGCAAATCCTCTAGCAGGAACTCCTCATTCGATCCAACCAGACTAGACTGGTCTAGTCTCTATCCCATCTGCAAGCTTTGATCCAACTCTTTGCCGACACCTCACGCCTCCTTTTCCTCTCGTAGCTGATTCCTTCACGGGCCTTCCTCCACCGAATCCCTGTGCTGAGCTGCCTCCGACCCCTTGCTCTATTTGCTGTGCCAATCCGGCTGATAGAGCTCTACACCTAGCCGTCCGACTTTACAGCCGCAATCCCAACTTCTGTGCCGATTCCCCCAACCCCACCTCCAAAATTCCTCGCTGCCTTGCAATCGCAAACTCGATCCCGTCTGTAGCCGAACTTCCCCACTTCGACCAGCCTTCAGACTCCTCAAGCAACCTGATCCATCCAATCTAGCAAGTTTCCTCCTGCATCCAACTCTCGTTAGTTGCTTTGCCCGACCCCTTCTTTTTGTTATAACCCAAAGCAAGCAATCCACTATAGTCAACATAACCCTCATCTTCCCATTATATTTTCTCCTCAACACATCCTTCTTAACTGTATATACATAACTCAACTAAACCATTTACTCGACCTAGATTCTTCAAAAACCACAACTACACCAACCAATGAGGCTACCTATTTTCCACATTATTATTATTACTAATTATTATTGTTAATTAATCTTAATAGTTATCATTACTATTATTATAAAAAAATGAAAAAAGCAAAAGAAGAAAGATTAAAAAAAAGATAGTAGAGGAAAGGAAAAAAAAAAAGAAAAAGAGAAGAAAGAAAAAATTTGTGTGCACATCCTCATCATCTCATCTCGACACCGTCACCATCGTCTTGCTCGCCGCAAATGTATAATGGTTTCTAAGCACAAAAACTTCCAAAACCCTATTTTTGACATTCGCGGCCTGTCCGAAGATCCCATATGCACACTTTTTTCTAGCGTAGTGGGAGAGAACTTGGTGCGGCATCGAAGCGGGTAAAGCTTTGTGCATGTTTTTTTAGCATGGTCGGGAATATTGCATTTTCAAATAGGTATCCTTGAAGACCCATGTATGCCTTTCTCTGGCGTGGTGAGATCAAATACGATGGCCGCAGTGTTAGACACTGACCACACACATCTTACTCTGATGTGGTGGGTAAGCTAATACTCCAGAATTTTCCCCTAAACGGGAGAGACCCCGGGAGGCTGCTGAAATTAACTGACGGTGCACATAACTTAAGCAAATACAAATGACCTGATTTGAACAAAAATATAGGAGACTTGAATTTAATTGAACTTTAGGGAACATAACTGAAACGATCATAGGGAATCCGACTTTAAATTAATAAACACCCAATCAAGTTGAAAATACAAACGCTAATTAAAGAGCCGGATCATCCAAATGAAAATCAAAGAATGAACATGGGGCTTGTGATGGACAAGTTTTCAAGCACAATCAACTTGCAAGCAACAACAGTCAGCTGCAAAGAACACATACACCTCCTACAGGCAACAAGAAAAAGACTTGTTATGGATACAACAACTTGCTTGTGGATTAAAATGGTAGACTAACAATAAATATAGGCTATATGTTATGAAAGATGTGCAAGTAAATGCGGCTTGCAAACCGACATGCAGGGGGGTAAGTTAGTAATGAACACAATACACCAACAACCAACATCAGCTTGCAAATGAATACACTAGTTGGGTTTGTGAGCCGCGATGACAGATAAATTGTAAATATAATAGTCTCTCTGCAATCGATGTCAGTGGGCTTGTGAATACCTGTAACGGTTTTTTTAGACCGGTCCCTAGTGGACCGGTCCAATTACGACCTGTCCCTAAAGGACTGATTCGATTTTACTATAGAAGAGGCGGCGACGAAGAGAGAGGGAGAGGAGTGGGGTCCACCAATACTTCAAATTTAAACTCCTTGGAGGGAAAGGAGGGGCAGCAAGGGCTCCTTAGCCATTTGACTTGTAGAAATAATTGAGAGTGGGGTCCACCAATAATTCGATTTTAATTGTATGCTTTAAGTAGGACGAGGGAATTAGGGTTAGGGTTAGGCTTAGGCTTGATTATTATTCTCTTGAGAGTTTCTTCTTGGTGTCTTGGGCTCTAGAGTTTTCTAGAGATTTGGAGAGAACGACCCTCCTCTCGAATTGAGGATCAATTATATCCTTGTTTTTGTTGTTTCCGTTAGTTCTCCCTTTTGCAATACAATTATTATTTGGAGAGCTTTCCATCAGATTTTTTGGGAATCGTTTGCTGTTTTTCTCTATCTTTGTTAGGGTTTTCGATATTCAAGTATTTCCTATCAAATTAGTATCAGAGCAAGTCTTGGGACCATCGGGGGCGGAATTTTTGAAATTCCAAAGGTGAAAATTCATCCCAAGGAAGGAACCCTTGCTGATTTTTGGATCCAAATCCAAAAATTTTGATGGCGACCAAGAAGATAGATGCTTTGAAGAATGTTTTGAAGGAGAAATGGGTCAAATAAAAGCCACTGTGGAAGATCGAATCTCCTCCGTAGAAGATAAGGTTTCGTCCGTGGAAGACAAAATTTCTGATCTTCATTTAATGGTGAAGAAATTATTGAAAAATCAAATCCAAACGGTGGCATCGGAGTCGAAGGGATCAATGGGAAGAACTACGAATTCTGGTTTTCATAAGAGGGAAGACGATGTAGAAATAATTGAGGAGAAAGGAGGAAGGTATGTAGAGAGACGTGGGAATAGGGAACAAGGAGTAAGGGGTGCTGGTTGGGAGAAAAAAAAGAGGGAAATTATGGTAGGAGGGGTGCTGATTTTGGAGAAAGCATGAAAGAAAGTGAAGAGGGGTTTGAAGATGTACATGTAAGGGAAGATAAGGAGACATAGGGAGAGCAAAGCATTTGGGAGGGGAAAATATGGAGGAATACGGGTTAAATGGGGGAGAGCCAAAGACGATGAAGCTGAAGATGCCAATTTTTGAAGGGGAGGATGCTTATGGATGGATCTAGAAGGTGGAGATCGAGGTACTTCGCCGTTAATAGGTTGACGGATGAGGAGAAACTGACAGTAGTAGGCCTATGTTTAGAAGGGAAGGATTTGTCATGGTTCTAGTGGAGGGACCGAAGGAGACTTATACGAAGGTCCTGAACATTCAAGGACTGTTTATTAGAATATTTTATAACTGATAGGGGGAGAGGACTTCTATGAGTAGTTTTTTGCACTGGTACAAGACAGATCAGTGGATGACTATCGGGAGCGATTAGAGTACCTAGCCAGTCGGGTGGAGCGATTATAAGAAACTGCATTAGAAGGAAACTTCATAAAGGGGCTCAAGGCAGAAATCAGAGCGGTGGTGAAAATCATGATGACTCGTGACTTGGGAGAGGCCATGAAGTTGGCACAACTTGAGGAGAATTCGAAGAATCTAGAAAAGGGAGCTAGGAGCAGTAGCTCATGAGGCACTTACACGATGATGACCACCTACTTAACACCCAAGGGGCCTGTAATAGGAGGATTTCGTGAGACCACCAAGAAGAAAATAGTAGGAGGGAGTAGAGGAAATTTCAAGAGGTTGACATAGAAGGAGATTCATGAGAAGAGGGTGAAGTGGTTGTGTTTCAGGTGTGATGAGAAGTATATCCAGGGCATAGGTGTAGGGACTGAACTCTTCAGGTTCTCATCGTCTGTGATGACGAGGAAATTGAGGGAGGCGAGAGAAAAGTAGAGGAGAAGATGCATTTGGACCTGGCAGAGGTTTCCCTGAACTCAGTGGCAGGATTCACCACGAATCATATCATGGAGGTGAAAGGGGAGATGGGGGACAGGGAGGTGGTGGTTCTGATTGATAGTGGGGCTACCCACAATTTCATTTTCATTTTCACTTTGGTCGTCGACTAACTGGGAGTGAAATTGGTGGACACCGGTTGTTATGGGGTTATGATGGATACAAGAAAGGTGGAGAAAGGCTAGAGGATTTGTAGATGAGTGGTATTGACCATCCATGGGGATTCAAGTGCGAGAGGAATTTCTCCCGTTGGAGTTAGGATGTACAGATGTCATCTTGGGGATGAAGTGGCTGCAGACCTTGGGGGACACCAAGATTAATTTGGGAGCACTCACGATGGAGTTGAGGGTGGATGGGAGAAAGGTGATGATCAGAGAAGATGCAGGGCTATCTAAAGCCATGGTGTCACTCAAAATCATGGTAAGGAATATCCAAGAGGTGGGG